TGATGAGGTGGAGGTGTTGGCAGAGAAATTAGAATTGGAAACGTGGAAACTAACCTAACAATCAACATAATTTCTGATGTTCTTTTAAACTACACTACAGGAGATTTTAGTGGATGTCTGAAATTTTTTAATTCACATTTTGAAGACGTTCCTTCACATTCGGTTTTATGAAAAAGCGTATCTTTCTTTCACTGATGGAGGAAAAAAAAATTGAAATGAATGTGTTTTTTTTTTTCATTTATTTTGATAAATTAACAAGATCAAACCAAATATACTCTATCCAAATATAATATTTTTCTATCCAAACGTAATTTGCCGAAAAATTGTAGCAAATGTGGGATTTTGGAGAAAAAACATTTAGAAAAATTTAGAAAAAATTCGAAAATTCGAAAGTTCGAAAATTCAAAACTCAATAAAATGAGAAAACTTGGCTTTTTGATTTTGATTTTTTCAAAAACCTAGATTCTTCTAAAAGTCAATAAACTCCAGAACTAAAAATGTGAAAAATTTTCAAGTTTTCAGAATTCTCACTAGTCAGATTGATAAGATTATAACCGGAAATGTTAATTCTTTTACAAAAATGACTGAGAATTAAAAAAATGAAAAAAAAACCTTCCAGACTACGAACTACATTTGTCCAGTCACTCTCGCCGGAAAATCCCCCAAGATTCTTCAGGCATTCCAATGCTTAATGTACAAACACACACTAACATTCCCCCTCCTCATTCATTTTCTCCTCTTTTGGCGGCTCATTTAAAATGTTCCGTGAAGCGTTAATGTAGCTGATTCATGAGCACCATAGGCATTCATTATTAGCTTTGTTATTATAACTCAACATAGTTTTTCAGAAGGACGAAGGTTTCCCGAATATTCTTTTTTTTACCCCTATAATCACGTTTGAAAAGTCCTATCCAAAAAAAGAGGATGGCAAGGGGGTCTGACTAAACTAACAATTAGCGATTTCCGTTCGGAGGGGAGGGCGAATCTAGACGCTTAGTTTTCCCAATTCTTCTTTTTCCTACTTTTTGTATTTGAAAAATCATTGAGAATCTAGTTCAAAAAAGTTCCAGTCGGTCTGCCGACAGCTCTGGGTCGGCAAGGTGTACATGAGAGCAAGGACATGTCACCTATCCCAGGTTCCCCGCCCCCCCCCCCCCCGCGGGAGGCAACGACAAGGAAAAGTTGATAAGCGATGCTTAATTAGCTCAACTGGTAAGAGAGTTGCCTAGTAATAAAAAGGGGTTAGGTTCGATTCCTCGTGGATCTCAATATTTTTTCATTTTTTTCTAGGCATAATATCAGCTATAAGGAAACATTGGGGTGCCAAATTAAAAAAAAAAAAGATAAAATTCCGAAAAACGGCATATTATTTACAAAGTTCATTGTATTTGGTGCATATAAGAAGTTCATTTCCCTAGAAACCCTTTTTTTCCTATTTTCCAGGTAGAACATTCAAATTACCCCCAAACCACCTGTAACGCGAAATCTGTTAGCTCAGCTGTCCCCCATTGCAAATCCCTCCTATTTACTGGTCACTCTTCCCCTACAAATTGTCTCTTTTGTGGTGGTCAGCGACTCCAAAAAGAAGGAAAGGGAGGTGCAAATTGCATTCACAATTCTTTTCTTCCTTTCTCTTCTCCTCATTTTTCCGTATTGGTTATTATTAGGATTTGTGTATATGTCTAAATTTGCAACTTTTGCAGAAGGATTTCAAACGTTTTAGGATTTTTCCGTTTTCTTTCAATACTCAGATAATGCACTTCCGCGCCAACCTTCCACCCTCGCGCCGTTCTATTTTTCCTCCTTCAAGTATTTCATCGCCGCCGGCGCCCTTCGTTGCCTGTTTGGTTCAGTGGTAGCGCTCCTGTTTATCAATCTAGAGGTCCCGGGTTCAATTCCCAACTCCTCTAATTTTCTTTTTGCTTCTTTTTCCACTACTCCTATACAAGTTTCTTTGCCAAAATCTTCGAAAAAGTCACATTTTCCTACTTCCTGCACATTTATTTGTCATCGGATACCTCCCGAATCGCATAATATGGATTCTTGAGAGCTCCTCCAGAGCCAAAACTAAAAAGAAAAAGAAAAGAAATTCAAAACCCCTCCTTTTCTTTTGTTCTTTCCCATGGCATATCCAATTTTTTGGCTACTGGGACGGCGGATAAAAATCAGATATCTGTAACTTTTGTTTTAGTTTTATTTTCGTGAAATTGATATGTTTTAATCTGGGAATCTTCTGGAGAACTTTAAAGAGTTTGAAGGGGCGGAGAGGGTGGGACTTTTCTGGTTCAGACTATATTTTTCTAAGAATCTCCGAATACCAAAAAATTGTTTCGAATTTTTAAAGTTTCCAAATTTTGGAACACTTCGAAAATTCAAAAAGTCGCAACATTAATATTTCAAAAGTTCAGAAATTCTAAAAATTGTATAAATTCGGAATTTAGGAATTCAGAAAATTTTCTGAACTTTCTAGCTTTTGAATTTTTGACTTTTGAATTTTTTTTTTTGAAATTTCCGTAAATTTTCTTAAACTCCGAACATTCAAAGATTTCAAAAAATTCAAAAATTCTGAAATTCAAGAAATCGAAAATTCAAAAAAATCAAAAACCGAAAAATCAAAAAAGTGAATTTTGTAAAGTTTTTGATTTTTTTTCTCGAATTTCTGAATTTTACAATTTTCGAATTTCCCTGAATTCTGAATTTTTGAAATTTTGAACTTTTGAAAACTTATGAACATTTGAAATTATTTAAAAAATGGAAATCAGGAGTTTGTGAATTTTCAAATTTTTCCGAATTTTCGATTTTCAGAAATTCAGAAATTCAGAAATTCTAAAATTCTGAAATTCTGAAACTAACACAATAAAAAATTGAGTTTCCAATTTTCAAAATATTAGTATTCAAAAAAGTGTCAATTTTCCGAACGTATTTTCTAGAAAAATTTCAGCTGCTCTAGCCTTTTATCTGTTCTCCTTTATTTTGGAAAGTTGATAAAAGAATTTCCGAAATTTCTGAAAATCTAGAGATATCAGGATTTCAAATTGAAACATCTGCCAAAATATCTAGATTCCCAAGTTTCAGAATTCAAAATATCATGGCATTTCCAACTTTCTGAAATTCATGAATTTGTGAAAATACAGGTTTTGTATGGCCGAAGCTCTAAATCTCAAAATTTCCAGCATTTCCAATCCCAAAACTTTCAAAACTTTCCTTCTTTTTGAACCACTTCTTCACACCTCCTCCTTCCCTCTTTTCCTGTGTTCTGTTCGCTTAAAAATGTATGTTTCTTCCTCTATTCTCTCTATTTTCTGACCTATACACTGCTTAGCATCCAAAACGAGAAGACAGGTGCTCTTTAGTTTTTCTCCCTTCTTTTAAATTTCGCAACTTTTCTTTCTATTGTTCTTCTTTTTGCATTTTCTAAAACTTTTTGTCCCTCAAAAACCTTCTTTTTTCCACTTAATTCCAAAAAACCCTCGTCATCATTGAAAGCTTTTTTATCGTTTACCCTGCCGGAGGGCATAGGTGAAACTTCAAGTTCCTCCCCCCAAAAAAATGGAAAAACAAAAAAGCAAAAAAAGCGGACCAAGTTTCTCCAAATATCAAGTTTCCCCCCAAGAAATTTGATATTTTCATCGTTTTTAATGTGTTTTTTTTCACATTTTTTCTCATTTTTTCAGAAAGTGTTGGTAGTAGTTTTTTGCCATATATGGAAATTCAAAACGAGTTGTCACAAGGCGTTTATAATGTCATGACATGGCTAAATAAACACTTAAAAAACTATTGAAAGGGGCGGGGAACCGAACGTTTTACCTTTTGACTGTCAGTCGGAGGTGTTAGCCACTGCGCCATGTGGCGGCGACAGGCGGCCGCCGGTGAGCCGCCGATACTTCGTTAGATGAGCTCTAACTTGTCCGGAACATAGGATTCAGGGGTTTTCGAATATGCAGATTTCAGAAATCACGTGAATTTTCAAAAACTGTCTAATATTTCAGAAAATTCCACTGAAACTCTGCTAGTCTCCATAAAAGCTCTAATTATCCTAAAAATTAATTTCCTGGGTTTTCGAGTATGCAACAATCAAAAATCGTGCTAGGAAACTTCTAGAAATTTCAAAATTTTTCAAAATTTCTCCCTTCTACCAGTTTTATTTAGTTCTCACGGTGCTTTGTGATGTGTAGGGGGAGGTTTGTTTGGTTTCTATCTTCTTATTTTTCCAATTTTGTCACTTATTCGAAATTTCAAGTTTCTTTTACTATTCCGAATATTCCGATTTAGTACATTTGAGTATTTTTCTAGTTTTTAAAAAATATATTAAAAATTGGTCCAAAATGGGTCCAAAAAATCAGGTCCGTGTGAAAATGAGTCAGAACAACTAGGAAGTTTAAGGGAACTAGAAGATAGATGTATGTCCAGGAAAACAAGAAACATCTCTTAACTTTTAATATAAATTTTTTTCAAAGTCGTCCTCTCGTGGGCCGCCCGTCGACCGCCAATGAGCCGGCCAACGACGCCCGGCCACCACAACCCAATAAAAACATCCCTGAAAGCTGGTACCTGTGGTTTTTCATGTTGTGGTTTTGAAAAATCACATGAAATTGCATATTTTTAAACTGTACAACCAAAAAAATTACTGAATATTCCAAAAAAAGAATTTTCTTGAAATCCGGTCATATTTATACTCATTCCAGAGCTCATATAAAGCCTAATTCAAAATTCTAACTTTTTTGAAAATCGGTTAATAACCAATCTAGATATGATAGTTTTAAAGTTGAACCCTGTTTTAAAGATGCATCTACGGTAAATACTCTAATGGAGGGCAACTCATGTTGAACCCCTATATCTCGGCTCCTGTAAAACATTTTTAAAAGTGATCAACTGATAAAATGTTTATCATAATATCAAAAATATTTTATCAATTGACCACTTATTGGGAAGTTCCACAGCAACCGAGATATATGAGCTCAAAGTTGCCGGGTTGGGTAACTTTCTATTAGAGACTGAACTCTGCTTTAAAGGCGCATTGGGTCATTGCTCATCTCTTGCGAACGTGCCAAAAGTTAACCTGACGTCACCCCAACCCTATACCCAATTCCACTAAAATTTGCTCACTCGACAAATTTCTCTTTTTTGATGTACTTCTTCTTTTGGTTTTCCCCTTTTACTTCCAATAATAAACTCATCTTTCCGCTTCATCTCACTTTCATATCCTCACTTCTCATCCAATATTCTTCCCCTCACCCCTTTCTCTTTTTATTTTGAGTAAAAAAGTTTTTGTTTCAAAATCCTATTCTTGGCTTTCAAATTTTTTGAGTCAAAAATCAAAAAAAAACCAAAAAAAACGAGAGTGAGGCGAAAAAAAAACGCTAATTTTGTAATGCAAATCGCATTTCAAGCCACCAACACCACAATGCCTTTTGTCTCTCGGCACAAATAACATGCCGTTTTTTGGAATTCTTCCTTATTTTTCCGGGAATTTGGCATTCTAGTCGCTTTCAATCGTTCCTAATATGTCACGTTATCCCTAGAAAAAAAAAGAAAAAAAAGATTTGAGCCACTTAGGAATCGAACCCAACCCCATTTTGTTACTAGGCAAACTTCTTACCAGTTGAGCTAAATGCGCATCGCTTATCAATTTTCCCTTGTCGCCTTCCCGCGCAGCGGCCACCTGGAACAGGTGACCTTTCCTCACTCTCATGTACGCCTTGCCAAACGAGAGCTGTCGGCAGCAGCGTGGCGCAGTGGAAGCGTGCTGGGCCCATAACCCAGAGGTCGGTGGATCGAAACCACTCGCTGCTAGAACCTTTTTTCGCTTTTTTGTAAGTGGGTCAGATTTCTTTTTGAGGTCTTTTGGAACACCTTTAACACATCAGGTACCATCTGGAACTTGTACTTCCACCTTTTTGACCACCCCGCGGGGTGCCAATGACGCCTTGTTGACACACACAAAACATACAATTCTATTCTTTTCGAAGCACTTCCGGACGCTATTTTGAATGGATGGTGAGGGGAGGAGAAGCATTTCAAAGAGAACTAGCAAAGTTTGACTTCCAGAAAAAATACCGCTCTAGAACTTTCTAACCTTCTATTTCTCATTTTCTTTGAGTTTTCGAAATCCAGGAATTTAAGAATATTAGAAATGTTGTACTTTCGAATTTTTGATTTTTTGAATTTTTTAAATTTTCGAACTTTTGAAACTTTGGAATTTCTGAATTTCTGAATCCTATTAAAAAGTGGATATCGATTTTCTTATCCTAGCTTTTCTCAGTCTTACATTTTCCAAAATCCCAAATCCCAAAAAAACCGATTCCCTAATTTTTAAAGGTGGTCCATTTAGTGAACTCTAACCACTTCCACCCACCAGAATCCTATTTACCCCTTTTCCCCCAGACGATTTGACGTTTTAAGTGAAAATATGAGGAAACAATGGGGGTTTACCGTTTACGCATCACTTCATTCTTCTCTTTTTAGCAACTTTTTCTCTCTAAAACCTCTCAAATTTTTACCTTTTTCCTCTAAATTAGTCTACTGCCCACTTTTTGAGGAGAAAGCCTTTATTAGTATTGTTAGTCTCATATTCATAGCCAAAAAAGGGGATAAAACTCCTTCAAGTGTTTTTCTTTTTCGTAGAATTTCTATTTCTCTGACTTGCTTCTGGTTTCCTTCATCATCCAATTAGGTTTTTTCTACCTTTTATTGTGTTAGTTATGCCTCAAAGGATCTCAAAAACGTTCCAAAAACGTCCCTAGTGTCCCTGTCCTATTTACAAAAAACGCAATAAGTTTCTAGCAGCGAGTGGTTTCGATCCACCGACCTCTGGGTTATGGGCCCAGCACGCTTCCACTGCGCCACGCTGCTACCGATGTCTGTGAGTCGAGAGGGCGTACAAGACAGTGAGGACAGGCGGCACCCTTGGAGTGTGGAAATGAACTGGTCGAAGAGAGGAACATTTATAGATTTAGGGGGTTGCTGTAATGGTGCAAAAGTGGCTCAGGTGGTAACAGGTGGAATTCCATGCGAACACTTATTGGTTCGATTCCACACATGTCGAAATCTTTTTTGCTTTTTGTGTTTTCCCTGAATATTGTGTTATGATGCCCTTCAAGAGTCCCAAGTGTTCATTTTCTCTAATCTAATTTACTATTCTTCCAACAACTAGCTCCTTTCTTTTTTTCTCTATCTCTCTAATTCTCCTCATCTCTCACCATTACGCATATTTCCTGTTTTCTTTTTTTCAGCACTTTTTATTTTTCCAGTTGACGCTTCATAGAACCCAATTTTGAGCTAAATCAACTTTGACACTTTTTTTTGGGAAAAATTGATTCCCAAAATGAGAAGTGATGTTTTAGGTCGGTCCAAAAGAATTCAAAAACTTAGTGAACACAAAAAAAAGTTTTTGAGCCCTGGGGGCAGAAAAAAAGAAGATGCTAGACTTCTTTTTTCTACAAGAACAGCTCCCAGAGCAGTGAAAATGCTCCAGAAAAAAAATGAGCAAGAGGAGCAAAAGTTTTTGGTTTTATTTTTTTTCTGGCTTGGTTTAGAAGATCTGGTGGTGGGTGTCAATTCTGTTTGATGGGAGATTGTTTTGAGATGACGTGCAGTTCTTTTTTGGTGTTCGAAGTTTTGAAAATCTGCTTTCTTGAAGATTTTTGTTCAATTTTCCAAATTCCAGGAAATTCTGGAAAATCTGAAATTCTGAATTTTTGAATTTAGAATTTTAGAATTTTCTGAAATTTTTCTGCTTTCTGAATTTCTGAATATCCTAATAATTCCGATTTTCTAGTTTTTCAATTTTTTGAATTTTGAGTTTTTGCAGTTTTGACATTTCAGAAATTGGAAACTTCAAAATTTGAAATTCTGGAATTTTCAAAAAATTTTCAATTTTGTTTTCAGAAAATATCGTTTTCTGGGAAATGTCGAATTTTAGAATTTTGTTTCGATATTTCTCAATTTTCATTTTCCAAAATTCTGAATTTTGGAATTCCGGAGTTTTGCAGTTTTTTTTTTGTTTCTCAGATTCTCAAAGTTTGGGATTTCCAAACTTTCAAAAAACCTTCTTCAGTTTCAATTTTAAAGGTGGGGGGACAGGAGATTTTTCGTAGTTTTTTTGTAGCTAGAGTATGCATTCTACCGTGACGGTGTACAACGCTAAATGTCACTCTGCGTATAGCTGTCGTCCTCGCCTTTATGTATGCAATCGGGCGTGCGCTTTCTCTTTGCCCGCGTGGCTCAGTCGGTAGCGGCGCCGCACCCTCAATCAACGCCCTCACAAGTTCAACTCCTCGAGGGGCATCTTTGAACGGAATTTCGAGAACATTATTTTTTTCATGTCCCCCCACCTTTAAGATTTTTTTTCCTTAATTTCTAAATTTCCGAATTCAGAGATTTTCTGTTAAAACTTAAAACCCCCGTTTATCTAATCCAATTCCCCTTGCCAACCCCCCCCCCCCCATTCGACCACCCATTTATCCCTTTTTTTGTCCCAAAAAGAACAAAAAAAGCTTAGTTTTAGGAGCACAAAAGAGCATCAAAAAAAAGAATAGGGGGCGGGGAAGGGACGCATTATCTTGATGCTTAAGTTAATACTTTTTTCTTGTCCCTTATTCCATTTTCCCCCATTTTTTGTTTTTTTTGCTGGATTAGGCTCTAGTTTTTTTCTAGAGGCATTTTTATATAATCGATTTTCCTGTTTTCCTATTTTTGAGCAATTTCTCTTTGAAATTTATAAGTTTTTCTGAAAAAAATATTTCTCATAATTCTTTTTGTCTAATTATTCCGAAAAGTCTCAAATTCCAGAACTTCCTAAATGATCTTATTTGTCTGAAAATTGTGCTGAAAATTGGCTGATAATGATGTCGACATCGTCGTCGATGCTTCCGACGACACCGATCGGAAAACAACAAGTGATTGATATGAAAGCAGGAGCGATTCTTAGAGATAATGCGAGGTGAATAATTTTTGAAATTCCGAATTTATGAAATTCAAAATTCATTAATTTTCAGAAAAAGAAGTGGTCAATTCTACGGCTGTCCACTTACCGTAGTCCTCACACTTATCATTTCAATCAAATGCTTCTTCATCGTAGCTTGGATATACCGAGAGTACGGTAATTTCGATTTCCGGTGTACGGCATGGAATGGGCAGATTGCTGATAGCATGTACAGATCAAGACGGTGGACATTGTGAGTTGTTTTCTGTAGTTCTACCGTAATCCCTTAGAAATTGTAAAATATTAGATTTTTCTTTTACTGTAGTTTCAAACAATTTCCATAATGGTACTCTAGTCTACCGTAATCCGTTCAAAATTTTTAAAATTCTAAATCTGGCTCTCTAGACGGATTACTGTAGCTTTCTACAAGTCAGCTAGAACTAGACAAGAAATATGAAATGAGAAAATTATGGTACTGTAGACAATTCGAAAATTTTTAAAATAAAGGAAATTCTCTAAAATACTTTTGAAATCTCAAAAATTGAAGAACCTACTCAATGGATGATGAAAAAAGCAAAAAGGACAAAGAAATGACGGATTATGACTATGCTGGGGAACAGGATGCTTTACCGGACACACGAAAAAAGAGAATGGTTCATTAGTGAGTCCCTAAAGTTCTAAAATTCATGAATTCGAAAATTCCGAAAATTAAAAAATTCTGAAATTCTAAAGTTTCAAGATTTTAAAATTCTTAAATTTTCTAAATTTTAAATTTTAAAAAATCAATTTTCAGCGAAAAATCTGACCCCCGAAAATTCTCAAAAACTCCCGAAAATGATGACGATGATGATAACGCGAAAACCGATGTGATCAACAAAGAAAAGAAGAAAAAGAAGCCGTTATACGGTAGATCAACGTCCACTTCCACTGATTTACATCCTCCAAAAATTGATCCTCGTTTGGATTTCGGACCACTTCCACCGAATTTTCAACGCCGAATTGACAGTAATCATATTCCTGATATCAGTGATAATGATAATGGAGATGATGATCTACCAATGACTACAATGGTTACTTTAACCAATACTCAAATCATTCCGTTATCTGGAGAAGAAAGTGGAGTTGTTAAGTGAGTCTTGGGAGGGTTTGGGGCACTTGTAGTTTATAGTCTTTGTAGTCAGTGTAGTTCTCTTTTCAGCATACTTGGGAA